TGGTTACTTTTAACAGCAGTGAAGAGCTATGCAATGTACAGGGCAAGGCAGAATCAGGTGCTGTATGCCCTTCTTCACTTACTTGCTTGTTCAGTGCTAAGCCCAGCTTGTAGACAAAAAGAGAGGGCCGTTAGAATGTGTAGGCAGCAGTCTGTCCTCATGGCTCACCTTCCTATAACAGGTCCACTCCCCTGTATCTCCATGAAAGCCATCACTAACCTGCTGAAAAGAAAAGAAATAAAGCAATTTTTTTTTTAAATTGTCCTTTCACTTGTTTTACAGCTTTAAAAACTAAACTTCCACATCAATATTTCTGTCATATTTTGTTCTTAAATGCCTTGTATATATGGAAAAGTCAAAACAAGAAAAAAGGTAATTATCCATATTTTTTGACAAATACATTTTGATACAAATTTGTAACAGCTTGAATGGAAGTGAGTGAAGATGTATATAGCTTCCATCTACTGAACATGGGATTCATGCTGTCATTTTCAGAAAAAGGTTGTTCTAAGCAGCACCAGACAACATAACAAATCACATGCAGCTTGTCTGACCACCTCCTCAAGGGTTTAAGGTTCCACTATGACCAAGTTTTAAGAGAACAAAGCTGAACGGATCAGCAGGTGTCCTGATGCCCAAGGTACTTTTGTTTAAGCCAATGAGTACTTTTACATTGGATAGTTTTGGGGATGCAATGCTAGAGACAATGATGTCAGAAGGCATGTGTTAGCACATTGGAAACTTTTTGGGATTGAGGAAAAGTCATAGTCTTTTAAGTGACAAATAATTACCTCTGCATATACTGAATGAACTGTGAAGTACACTCTATATACTGTGTCTAAAACACAAAACACTTGCTCTTTTTCATTCCTAATAATTTATTTTTTAAAATATATATGTATACATAGAAGGACAGGGAATTAAGATATTTCATGTTATTAGAAACAAATCATTGCATCTACATAATTGGCCGGTTGTTGCAGATGATTTGTGCAGTCCAAAAGTGGAAGAAACTACTCAATACCCCTTCAGCTTTTATTTGCTACCAGCTGTTTAGAGACCAAATGCAGCTTGGGGTCATTCCAACAAAGGGAGGTATGGTTTTCCAGTAAAAAAGTCATAGATGCAAAAAACCCTGGGAATTTAGACAGTATTTAAAGTATACAATTTCTTTACTGTATCTTATCTTTATGGTTCACAGCTGACATTAATTTTGTTGCTATTACAGCTGATCTGGCCAGATTATTTAACATTTGAGGATCGAGTGAAGTGTGTTGTTTATTTATGTAATGAATAAGTTTTAATCCAATAAAAACAAAAGAAAACAAAACAAAATCAAGTGCTGACCTATTACTCCCAGAACTTCCAGGTGCTAAGTCATTGCATTTATACTGTAAAGAAGATTGAATTTTTGTAATCGATAGGCACTGGGCATACAGGAAAAAATTATGCTTTTTTGCTAATCCTGCTTGGTGCTGAGAGCTCCCAGCATCCTGGAGGCATTTGCAGCCTTGTCACAAGCAGAAGTACTAGGACTGGCTCTTAGCTGTGTCATATATACTAGTGCAAACATGCATTGCAAGCATCAGAGAGTTGTAAAGATACACACCATAATCATGGTGAATGAATACCATTGGCAGGTAGTCTGAATTGTATTTGTATTAGGAAACGAGCACAGTTTCCTAAGTCTGTATAATATTGTCAGTATAGTTTCTGGTCCTGACTTCCAGTCTCCTGGGTTTCTGCTTCATCTTGGTTTAGATAACTACAAATGAAATAGAAATTGCTGAGAATTTCACAAATGTATGCATTTTTAGTAACTTCGCTATTGCCATCAGCTCATTGCCCATTATATTAGCTCAGAAGACTGCCTCTGTCTATATAAATAATGTTTCTCGATATCCAATGTTACTGAGCTCCTAATTTCTCCCTCCAGGACCTAATTTAAACATTAAAAAAATGTTTTGAGGTTTTTGTGATACAGCTACATTGGTAAATGTGTTTCAAACTTAAAGGGTCTTTTATTGCTTTTTGGCTGTTCCCCATTTTTTGCTACAGTCAGGAGACTCATTCTTTGACTGTGAATGAACTAGAGAAAGGTGAAATCCCAATAGTTCAGCCTTCACTGGGAAAAAAAATATTGCAGCATAAGACACTTTTTTATTCTTAAATTGTTGTGTTCTATGTTTAACAATTCTGACTCATAAACACTGGCTGTGAAAGGTTGAATTTGCAGATACCTGCAAAAGATAAATCTGAGGTCTTTCAAGGACTGGTGTCGGTGAGTGGCATGAACCCTTTATCTGACAATACAGTGATGAAGCACACTGGCAAGGTATTGACAGTGGAGAGGAAATCTGTTGCACCCAAGCTGTCTCTGGTAGTGCAAACAACACACTTTGGGTAAACTTTTTTTTCATCTGATGATTATTTTTAGCTTTGTGTGAAATGACCTTGGCTCTGATTTTTGTAGCTGGTGGAAATATGCATCCAAGCTCCAAAGAATCTTCTTTTTCCATTAGCTTTTAAGACACACTGAGGGTACTCATCATGTTCACAATACCTTTACAGCTCATGTGTGCAGCCTGTCTGTCCTAACCTGCTTACAACTGTTTAACTACTTCATGCACACTACCTGGTAGATCTGAGCAGTGAAAGAATCCTGTAAATGTGGGACTTACTGCAGACGTATGGTATAATGCGTAGATCAAGCATTGGATGTGGTGTGCAACACTGTATACACAGGTATTTCTGTCTGGGAGGTCTGAGACAGAAATATGACTGCGCACCACACAGAAGCATCAGAAAAGGAGATCATTGGCAACATCCTTGATGGAACCCTAATAAAATAGTGTGCAATAGCCATGTATACATGCTGAAATGAGAACCTCTGAAATAGGAATGTCTTTTTCTGGCTTTCTATAAATTGTCTGAAAACAACAGTAAGTGGTATCATGTAATTATTCAGTTTATTGTAACTGCTCTAAAGTCCTCATGAGTTCTCTGTTCTGATCAAATCCTGTACTCATGATGAAGTCACTGTAAGCAGCAGATGTAATATATCATGCCGTATATAATACTATATGTTTTCAGTGAAGGAACTTTCATATTTGTCAGGAAGATTAGTTCAGCAATGACACTATATCAGCAAAGAAATATTATTGAAAAAATAATTCTGTGAGATTAACGATTTAACAGATGCATTTTTGCCAATGACTGTCCTGTTTAAATCTTGTCTGAAGTGTCCATGTTGGCTTTCTTTTAAGAGTGAAAATTAAGCTTGTGTAAACAAATTGCTACATTAGAAATCATAAAACTTAACTGTAACAGTAGTTCTAAGAGAGAAAAAGAAAAACATACTATTACAAAGATATTGCTGAGTCTCTTATTCTTGTTAGTAACTCCTTCCTTCACACACTGACATATGTTGACCTAATTGTCTCTGGGAATGTTCACACATGCTGCAGTGCAATACAGTTCCTTTATTCTACTACACAGCCTTTGTTTTCAGGTAAGTATGGGTATTCAAATGTTTTTCTCTTAAGTGAGCTTGTTTTAACTGGATTCATGATGGCTGGTGGTCAAAGCCTCAGCATTCTTCACCACAAGTAGCACCTTACTGACAACCTTAGCAGATAACCCAGGTCAGAAACATGTTTTCCATTGAAAAGTGTTCAAACACATTTTCATCTGCATTAAGACTAATGATGTTCAAGTAGCAGTTGAGCTGTCCTGATTACAAATACCCAGTGATGTTTGCAGAGGGCACTGTTTGTATACAAAGTAATAAAAACTTTTGACTTCTCCCCTTGAAACAGCAATAGAGTGTATTATAGGATTCAGCAATCCTGACTATGAACAAATGTCCAAAGGAATTTCAAAACTTAGTGGTATGACAGTGCCAAACAATTAAAAGCTCTTCTGTAGTTAAGAACAGAGGGAGAATATATAAGTTCTTTAAAAAAGGAGACATTCCAAATAGCAACTGCATCTGTGTTTTGCAAATGGGACTATAAAGATTACAAGAAAAGGTGAGTCTTAAAGTTTGTGGGTAATATCCAAGCGACATTAATATCACATCCATTTATACATTAATGAAAAGCCTGGAAACTCTAATCATTTGCAAATATTTATATATGCTTTAACATAGTTTAGATCAGGATCATTATGGAGAAAGAAAAACATCATCTTGATGCTAACATAAATATTTGGTCTTTCAGATAGTCCTAAAACACAGTCAAGAAAAGAATGTACTTTGGATCTTAATCTGCATTAGAAATGTCTTCACTGAATCAAAAAACAGCTTCAATTTGCATGTAAAAGAAGCCTCTCGCTAGTATCTCACATGCCCCTGAAAAATAACAATATTTACAAATGTTCACAACTAAACTAAGGGCATTTCATTTCACCATCAACAATGTGATGGTAAACATGCTGTCCTGGACAACAGCTTATCTTGGCATTGATCTCATTTGTGTCTAATAATACTGCAAATCTTGGGAGAAATGCCAGGATTTCTCAAAGAAAACAGCTGGGCTAGTAAAGATTGCCAAACTCTTGAAGTCTGCCAGATCAGTTTCAGTAAATGTGGAACGTTCATTGGTAAAGAAAACTACATGTATTTTTTAAAACTGATTTGAAGCTAAAAGAGAATTTACACTTTGTTTTCCTCTGAGGCTCAGCAAAGCCTGAAGCAGCTCTTATTTTACCCAAACCAACTTTGTCTCTCTCTGATGATGACATATCTTCATTCCATTGCAATAGGTGATATTTCTGATGTCTATTTTTGCCTGTCTGTGTGGTAAATTTCTTCCTGATATTTATGTTTCTACATGTTTTATTGTAGGAGAAACTCAGAACATTTCAGCTGAGTCTTAAAAATGCTCCAGATGAAGGACAAAGCCTTTGTCAAAAGACGAATGGTCTGACTGACAGTGCAGTTTCAGAATAAAGTCAAGCCTGAGAAACAACAATCCAGAATCTTTCCACAACCAGAAGAAATGAGGACTGAGAGACCTTCTAACCTAATCAAACATCCAGGGCAGACAAGCATCCCTTCGCTCGAAAATATAAGTGATTTCTCCTTTAATATCACTGACTGCACCCAGGTCGTCGTACCAGAGGAAGTTTTTTTCACTGTTGCGGCTGCTGGAATACTGGAAAATCTGCTTGTCCTTATTGCTGTCATTAGAAATAAGAATTTACACTTGCCCATGTACTTCTTCATTTGCAGTTTAGCCATTTCAGACATGTTAGGTAGCTTGTACAAAACTCTGGAGAACATCTTTATCATCTTGTGCAAAATGGGGTACCTGACACATCGTGGGGACTTTGAGAAAAAGCTGGATGATGCCATGGATTCCATGTTCATTCTGTCTTTACTAGGGTCGATTTTCAGCTTGTTAGCTATTGCAGCAGACAGATACATCACCATCTTCTACGCTTTGCGGTACCATAGCATCATGACACTAAGAAGGGCCTTGGTTATCTTGGCAGTTGTTTGGACATTCTGTGCCGGCAGTAGTATTGCCATTGCCCTCTTCTCTTACGAAGCAGCAACAGTCATTCCCTTCACCATCCTGTTCCCTTTAATGATGTTTTTTATACTGTGCCTCTATATTCATATGTTCCTCCTGGCTCGATCTCACGCCAAAAAGATCGCCTCACTGCCAACCAGCACAGTCCATCAGAGAACTAACATGAAAGGAGCCATTACACTGACCATTTTCCTTGGAGTTTTCCTTTGCTGTTGGGCCCCCTTTGTTCTTCACATCCTCTTGGCAAGGTTTTGCCCACATAACCCTTACTGTGCCTGCTACATGTCCATTTTCCACGTGAATGGGACGCTCATAATGTGCAATGCAATCATCGACCCTATGATTTTTGCATTCCGAAGCCCAGAATTGCGGAGTACATTTAAAAGGATGTTCTGTTGTGCCTGGTCAAACTGGAACTGGTAAACACTTCATGAAAAGTAAAGATTATAGAAGCACACCTATGGGATGCTATGAAAAATCAGTTTGCAGAGTTAAAAATGTTAATTATACCCATAGCTATACCACGCTTAACATACTGACAGTGATTTTCAGAGGGCCACCGAAGAATGCATAAAAACTAAGTATGCACACAAATCTTTGCCAACCAGACCTCCAGAAATATTAATGATTAAGTCAATTGTGCCATCAGATTTTATGCAAATATATAAATAACTGCAATTTATCTATATTTTGTTATTTAAGAAAAAGTCAGATATAAATCTTCTGAGTCAAGTATTGCATTAGCCCAGAGATGAGTTTATGCTAAATCATTTTGTATCAATAATTTCAATTTAAGGTGTATACTACTTTAAAATTCTGTTGTTTAAACCATAATGTAATGAGTATTTATTTCTAAATTGCACATTTATACAAAAGTCTTTGATAAAGCAGAAAACATGGACACGTAATTAGATTTTGCTAGAAAAGTGAATTCATGACTGTTCTTTAACATCTAGTCTCTTTAAAACCATGCTATTAGTGTTCTCTAAGTTTCAAAAGTAAATTCTGGAGTGAGTCCAAGAGAATAAGATATTTTGTTTTAAAAGATATTTTAAGTGACTGAAGTAAAGTTGTCATGGCAGCAAAGACAGGTTTTGAATTTTAAAACCGTAAAACCATGTCTGGAGTACCAAAGGGAATTGCTGAGCTGGTCAGCTCCCCATCAGAAGCCTCTGGGCCACTTTGTTGTAATAAAATAATGAGTTTCATAGACAGCAGTAGAACTTTGATTAAGCCATTGCTTTCTAAAGGAGCCACAACAAAGAATTCAAAAAATAAAATACCAGAGAGAAAATTTAAAGGCCTTCAAGGACTTCAGTCACCTGGATAAGGAATCAGCTAGCCAGTTTGGAAGGATGATACAAAGCAGTTTGTAATTTACAAAATACTAGTAAAAAAAATTCTAAATGTCCCTGCCAAAATAATACAAAACTCACAGAAGTTTAAGGCAGAGTAGTTTTCAACAGCAAAACATCCTCAAGCAGTCCAGAGCATGGAGTAAGAAATTAACCTCACAATAATTCAGTGGAGTTACAATAACTCAGTGGAGTTATTCAGCTCGCTATATGCCAGAGACAGAGTAGTAAGAGACAGACATGCAACTGAGAAAGCCAAGGCACAGCTAGAACAAGATGAGAAAAAGATAAAATCTATTAGAATTCATAGTTAAACAGAAGATTGTACTCTGATGGAACACTAAGGAAAACAAGAATTTCAGGGTATATGGAATATGGACCAAACCATACATGTTCAGGTGGACTTAGGCTAACCAATAAATGATATAAGAAAGGGACAATAAACCTGAAAGCTTCTATACAACTAAAAAAAGAAAACATCTTAAATGAGAAAAGAGATACTAAAATGAAAAATTTTCAAACCTCTACATGTATTACCAAAAAAATTATCTATAAATGCAAGTGCAGAAAGGAGTTCAAATATAATAACACATTTTATGTTAATGAGAATTTTTTCCTTTTCATCAAAAACAGAATAAATGTAAAGCTACACAGCAAGAAATGACTGTTAAACTTGAAAAAAAAAATATATATATATACTGTATTAAAGACAAGGAAAACCAGAAAACGTACAGTACCATAATACCCTGTGCACAGAGTTGAGGAGCTTCAAAATGATAAAAAAAGGATTGGACGTAAAACTGTGATTCAGGCAGCTCTCACATTAACTCTGCAACACATGAAATATCTACAAAATGCACCTTCCCTCAAAAACCTTATTTTCTATCCACTTCCCTAGAACAGACATAGTTAAGAGTGCAAAGTCACCTCTACCATGTTAGAAATCACTGCGCCTTGTAAGGAAGTCCATTCTAACTCTACAGATGCACCCTTTGATCCCCTTCCTCTTGGTCCCACTTCAAGGGCAGAGCAAACTGTCCTTCAGTAACCCATCACCCCTCCACCCCTTCCCAGGTTGTCCCACCATCTTTCTCAACATCATCCCCGAGTCTTCAGCCACCATTTGCCTGCAAAACACAGAGCAGCCGTGGTTACTTAGGTCATGGACCAGTGAGATTTGTCTTCCATCCAGCTTGTTAAAACAAGGAGTCAACACTTAGGCAGCAAATTTT